CGAACCACAAAGCACATGCAAATATATTTAATCTTTGAGTGTTGTGCCCCGGTTATCGATCAACCTTCCCTCCCATTTTTCAGATGCTATAAAATCAAAAAGTGTCCAACTTTTTTCCCCTTTACCCTTTCTTTTTTCTTCCACCTCTTTCTTACTTGACAATAATTGAGCAGCACGAAAAAAAAAGTTAATGTTCGTTCTTCCGTTTAACATCTTGTTTTTCTGCATTTTTTTTCTTTCTTTTTTGTCACCATCCTCTCAAATCCTTAAAGGTGCTTTTCTGCTATATTTGCAAACTTATTGTGTTTTTTTTCCTTTATTCTTTATTTTTTTTTCTTTTTATTTGTCCTTTTTGACTAGCATTTTCCAACCATAAACTTTGCTTTTTTCCTTTAAACCTTAGTCAAATAAGAAAAAAAACAAAAAAGTGGTGATAGCATTTAGAAAAATGGTCACGAAGAAGGAAGAAATAAATAAATAAATAGATGAATGCAAATTAGTTGCACTAATTGGATAAGTTTATCAACTTACCATTCTAAACGCAACAAACGTTTTTGGTTCTTCTTCTTTTTCATTACTTCACTTTTTCTTTCTCCTATTGTTGCTTTTCTTCTTCTCCTTCTATCAACCGCTAATTTTTTTCTTTTATCATTTACTAAGATGACTTATCAGTGTAAAAAAAAAACTTGTGAAAATATAACAAATTTTTGCAAAAAAAAATATATATATATAACACAAAAAATCTATATCTTTTTTTACAAACTACTAAATTAATTAAAAGACCATATAACAAGAAGAAAAAAAGCATCAGTGGAAAAGAAACATTAAAAAAAAAGAAAGATTTCAAGAGACATAAGAATTAAGCTTTTTATTTTTTTTTTTTGATTACACTTTCCTCCTCTTTTCTTCTTCCTCCCCTCTTCTGGTCTTCTTCCGCTAAATGTAAAACTATATGAAAAAAGTGATCAACGACGGTGCCTGCACAATTAATTGGTCTCAAATTTGTCAGAAAAGCAAAAAAAAAAAAAAAAAACTTTGGCATTTTTCATCAATACCATAAATTTTAACCCACCCCCTCTCCCCGTTCCCCCTTAGCTGAAAGATGCCAATTGGCCTAAGCAGCAAATGAACGCCTACACGAGAATCTGGGGCTATACTAAGAAGGTCAACAGAAATCCGATTAAGTTGAAAAGTTGTTAAAGGAATAGCAGAAAAGTCAACGGTTGCCCATGTTTAATAAAAATACAATCGGTTTTCCATGTAAAATAAAAACAACCAAGCAGACAATTCCACACCATCACAATCATAAAACAAGCAATTTTAGTTCTGAATTCCAAAATCAAGGGTGCTAACAAAAAAGAAAAATTATTCTGCGTCAGTTGGCAGTTGTTAAACAAAATAAAAATAAAATTACCAAAAAATTGACCTTAATCGCTTTCTCAGCAAAGAAGAAAAAAAAAAAAAAGGAAAAGAATTAATTAATTTTTTTCCCTTTTTTCCTCCTTTCCGTTCATCTATTTAAAGTTGGTCAAAAAAAAAAAAAAACAACAGCAGTAGCAGTAGCAGCAACAGCAACAACAGCAGAAGCAGAATCTGAATCAAATGCAGCATCAGGAGCAGGAGAAAGAAAAATTTTAGCGAAGACAAAATACATGTAGCAGACCAGAGTTACAATCAAAAAAAAAAAACTGAAAACCACGATGACGACAACGACACCAGCAGCAAAGCCTATCAAATTTGTGGTGATCAAATCTTTTTTTTTTATCTCCAAATGCTTCAGTGCAATAGAAAATGAAAAAAATTTTTTTTAAATCAAAAAACAAAAAAAAAATTATTTATTTTTCTACCCTGTCCATTTTCACCAAAACAACTAAACACATGCAAACAAAGTTAAATCATTTTAAATTTGCAGTATTTAACGTGCAACAATATGTCACAAGGAAAAATAACGACAAAAATGATTATACTGGTCTAAAACTTTTTTTTTTTTTTTT